TTATCACGGGAAAATTCCTCATTCACGGAAAACGGTATACAGCAGGAAAAGGGAAATATAGCGGATATTACCCAAATTAGCCAAATCTCTTTACCGATCTTCGCGAAATTTGGCACTGATATTACTAGCATATTAAAGATGGACATGGACTACTTTTTGACAGCCCTCGAGGATCTGGAGAACCTGATGAAGACCACCAGCATCCCATCTAAACTATAAGAGATACGGTCATGTCGGTCATGGCTTCATACAAAAAGTTGTTAACCATGACTGGCCGCTTCTGCTGGCACATGGTCATTTAGGATCTGGAGTACCTGATGAAGACCACCAGCATCCCATCTAAACTAAAAGAGATACGGTCATGGCTTCATAGAAAAAGTTGTTCACAATGACGGGCCGTTTCTGCTGGCACATGGTTATCGAAGATCTGGAGTACCTGATGAAGACCACTAGCATCCCATCTAAACTATGAGAGATACGGTTATGGCTTCATAGAAAAAGTTGTTCACCATGACGGGCCGCTTCTGCTGGCACATAGTTATCGAGGATCTGGAGTACCTGATGTAGACAACCATCATCCCATCTGAACTATAAGTGATAGGGTAATGGTTTCAAAGTAGGTATAAGTTATTCAGCATGACGGGCCACTTCTGCTGGTCATGGTCACGAGGGTCTGGAGTACCTGATGTAGACCACCAGCATCTCATCTAAACTAAAATAGATTCGGTAATGGCTTCAAAGTTAAAGTTATTCAGCAAGGCGGGCCGCTTCTGCTGGCACATGGTCACGAGGGTCTGGAGTAGGTACCTGATGTAGACCCCCAGCAACCCATCTAAACTATAAGAGATACGGTAATGGCAAAGATCCAATTTCTACGGGGAAACAGGTAAGTAGCAGTGGGTGAAACCGCTGGGCGGGCCGCTAGTAAAGAATAATTTGTATTATTGCTATGAATTGTTAGTGATATGACTTAAGTTTTTAATATGAATCAAAGCCTGGAATAAAACATTTATTTTAAATACGTACCCTTACGTTTAAAGAATCAAAATTTTGACCATTTACGGTCATTGGTCATTTTAAGTCCAAATAAAATAAAAATTGTTTTCATGCCAGATGAAGGTAGTATTCCATAAATATAATCCATGTTAAGGTTAGGTACCTTTACCTAGTACAAAAAATAAAAAAAGAGGCCGGGCTATTGGAGGTCAAACTTGATGTTGTTTTTATATCTCTACATAAAATATGCAAATAAATGTATAGGCAAGCAAGGTGATAAATTATCAATATTTATATCGGCAAAAAATGCACAAAAACCTGTATCGTCCTGTCTCATTCCAAATAAACGTTGTTCTTTATTGTAGAGTGAAACAGAAGATGTTCTGAAGGTTATTATCAATCTACGGAAGACCAAAATACGAATCGAGTCATCTTGGTCCTTTATTTAATTTAGTGTGTACTAGAAAGTAGGGCGTGCGGCTGTGTTTGAGTGTCTTGTATAAAAGTTTCTTAGTGAACCTGTTTGGAAATTCTTGTCGAATATTTGAAAGTGATTCTAAAACTTAACATAGTGAAATGCCAGAAAAACTTACTTGACCGACAGAAAGACGTTTATTTTAACACCTTAAACAAAATACGTAGAACATTATATGCAGAGTAAACTACGTTTTTTTTTTTGCACAATTTCCTTAAATTCTTGCATATTTTTTGTGTTATGTTCGCCTATTCAAAGTGAATTTAAGTGACTGGTACAATGTTTGTCGTCACAGTTTTAAAATATGTTTTGTCTCGAATTATGGAACATAAAGTGTAGCAAATTGTACAAAAACTTGTGACGAAACTATAGTTTTATAAAAGTTTCGACTCAACCATGACTGTAGTTGGGCATTACATGATACCAAGTGTGTATGGTAACAAACCTAAGGAAAAACGTCGTGAAACATGTGAACATTGTGAATTTTCCAATATGGAGAGGAATTTGAGGTTCTTTGAGTATGTCAGCATCAAACCTGAGTACCCCATGTTCTTTCCTGTGATATGTGAGTATCAAGTGTTTAAAAGCAAATTCAAAGATTATAAGGTAGAAAAAGGTGTTGTGGTTGTGATTTGGTGTCGTGCCCGGAATTTTCTTTTCAATACCTATTGATAAGTAATGTTTAAAGCCTACTCCAATAAAATATTTTATTTTGAATTCGTGATGGAAACATGTTGTTATATTCAACAGCTGATGGTTGGTCTTCCATCCAATGCTATCAGCTGAATGGTTAAATCGAAAAAGTCTTTCAATACACCAGTTCAATACTTTCATTGCAGTAAAATAGAAATAAATCTGTTTTCTTTTCTCTAGCTTTAAAAATATTTGATAAAATGTATTCGTGTCAGTTTCATGCAAAACTTCATAAATGAAAGAAAAAAATCTAATACACTGCAAGAACGAAGCCGCCTTATTTTGAACCCTATTTTTCTTGTCCGCAGGCGAGGTCCGCCAAGCGCTGTCTATGATGAAGCAATGGGCACCCATGGACGTGGAAGATGCCCTCGAACTCCTGACACCCAAGTTCAGTCACCCCAGCGTCAGAAAATACGCTATATCAAGACTCAAGCAAGCTCCAGATGAAGATTTGTTATTGTATTTGTTGCAACTGGTACAAGCGTTGAAATATGAAAATAAGAACGAGATACATGACGGTAAGTTTACTGTAGTGTGAATGAGATAGCTATTATGAAGCCTTAATTCAGAGACCAAAAGTTAGGAAATACGCCAGATCAAGACTAAAACAGGCGCCCGGTGAAGATCTGCTACTATATCTACTACAGTTGGTCCAAGCGTTGAAATACGAAAATAAGAACGAGATACATGACGGTAAGTACACAGTATTCCTCTCTTTCTCATCATAGCAGATGTAGTATGCCTACTACGTCTCGGAGGTACATCTCGTCGCCGTGTGATGCCGACGCCCTAACCAGTACTGATGCCGAAGGTCGCAGGTTCAAATCCTGCCTGCGGTGAAAATTTTGGAAGTTTTCCAATAAATTGTTTACCTAAAACGAGAAGTGTTTTAAAATTTGGTATTCAATTTATCGCGGGTTTTCATCGCTTTGACTACATTCAATCTGTAAAGAATGAATTAGTCGCTGGGAATTAGTTGCAAAACTATCCCGTTAGATGGAGCCCATCCACGCGATAGTGGACAAGATATACTTCCATAATTTCGCGGGCTCGATTAGAACCGCGGTAGCCCAGTTGGTTAGGGCGTCGGCAGTACGCCGCAGGTTCAAATCCTGCCTGCGGTGAAAATTTTGGAAGTTTTCCAATACACAATGTATCATTTTAGGAAAACTTGCAAAATTTTCACCGCAGGCTGGATTTGGACCAGCGACCTTCGCCATGTACGTCGCTAGTACAGTACCTAAATTGAATACCTAACACTGGAATGTTTTAAAAATTTGGTATTCACAAATGCATCACTTGAAAGAAATTCCGATTACAAACTCGTGTGTCCGAAGCGCAGTTAGCAATCGGTTCTTTCTTTACTAACCGCGTGACAGCAGATGTGGCACAGTGGTTAGTATGACTGCCTGACACGCAGAAGGTTTCGGGTTCGATTCCCGGTGGGGTCACTCAAAGGTCACTCACAAAGTTGATATTTACCTCTTTGTGAATTTGTTCCCAGTCTGTTTAGGATATTGCAGGCTAAACCACCTGATGGTTCCGTGCAAGATGGTTCCGTGCTTCGGATGGGCACGTTAAGCCGTCGGTCCCGGTTGCTATATAAGGTCCTATTAAATTCACTGCAAATATTTTAAGGGCATGCGTAAATATGTATAAGAAAAACTTCTAAGGCATTTTTAAAAAAATCTACACGCTAGATTTTTTTTTTCATTTTAAAACAAACTTTTTAATTAATCATGTGAACACCCTTTGACTGGCCCGACTGACGTTCCGCCACGTAAACAGGATTCACTTACACGGCACGCACACTAACAACCAACCAATCACAGCACGGCGCGTTTGCCGCGTAATTTAAATTCATCGAAGTGTGTGTTTCTAGGACAAACAGGGTGCACTTTTTGCGTTTCGTTTTTTTTTAGTTAAATGCAGTTTTCTCGAAAACTAGCGTGTAGATTTCTTTAAAAATTTGCCTAGTACATGCTTATATTTTATTTGATCTGCCCCTAAAATATTTGCAGTGAATTTAATAGGACCTTATATATGATGGCGGTCGTTACACAACCCTGTCAGAGAAAATCTGACACTAGGGTTATCAACTGCAAATATTTTAAGGGGTGAACCAGCCCGTGAAACTGAACAACTTTACCCTAGGAACATAGGTCAAAATGTAAAAAGAATGTGGACTTCCCATACAAAATCAGCCAGCCGACCGAGTCAATTTTTATGGGAGGTCCATTTTTCAAGTCCAGATTTTTCACAAAATATTTACAGTTGATTTTTTTACATTTTCGAAAGACAAAGATATAGATTTTTTATTTGCAAGATATTTTATATTCCTACTATTCTTTGTTGTTTTCAGAGTACGCTCGAATTGCGGGCAAGGATGTGCCAGTTTACTCCGACGGTGAAGGACGATTGTTGCAGAGCGGGCGGCGGGCGAGTCAGACCAGTCTCCTTTCTACGTCGGGTAAGTTTTTTGTATAAAGTTATAATATATTTTCAAATGTAGTACAATTTCATACAGGCTTATTTTAAAGTTAGTGCGTAAACTGTGCAGGATGTTTTTACTCGTGATTCTGAACAACTTTTACTATGGGGCCACCTGAGAAATCTAAAAAAATATTTTGGGTGTTCCATACATTTTTGTCGAGTAGGTATGAATTTTTCTATGGAATATCCAATTTTTTTAGCGAATTCGCAGGTGGTCCCGAAGTAAAAATTGATCATAACCACGCGTAGAAAAAACCCTGCAAAGTTTGTGCACTGACTAAAAAATAACCCTGTAATGAATTATATTTTTAAATAAAAATAAGAAATTGATGAATTGACAAGCGTCGACCGGGAATAGAACTCGGGGCCGGTGGGGTACTGCCCCACTGCTCTGCCACTGAGCTATCAACGCACCGGTAGGCCCTTGCCAATTATACAATTTCTAAAAAGTTTTTTGACATGAAACCTTTGTTTTTAGGTAACTCAAAAGGCAAAAAAAACGGAACCCTTATAGGATCACTTTGTTGTCAGTCTGTCTATCTGTATGTCATTCTGTCAAGACCCATTAGCTCAGGAAAGCGCAAAGAAATCGAGTTGAAATTAAAACCGTATAGTCAAGTCTATGGTCACTAGCAGTTGTGAAAAAATCAAGCACCTAACTTCAAGTTAAAAAAACCGGCCAAGAGCGTGTCAGACACGCCCACAAATAGGGTTTCGTAGTCAACGTTTAAATATCAGGTTTTTCAGCATTACAAACTTAATTTTGTTGCTGGTTTGTTAGCAGCAGTATGATGACCAACCGCAAATAGAAAAACTCAATTTTTCCTGAAACCTTTAAGGGTACGATATCCGTTATAGTTTTCATTGTAACTTCAGATTGTAAGCTATATTCCATATTTATTTCAAATTTTTAGCGTTTATACTTTAGAAGTTACAGCTGGAACAAATTATGGGTCAAAAACGCCCTTTTTAAAAGCAAATATCTCGTGACAGAAACATTTTAGAGAATTTGTTTCAAAGAAACCTCACCTTAATTTTAAAAGACCTATTCAACGATACCCTACTCAATATTACAAAAGAAAAAAAAATTTTTGCCCCCCTTTCACTTGTATGGGAGGGGGTCCAAAAAACATTTTAAATATTTTTTTCTTAACATTTCTATATTTGGGTCAACACTATCTATCTTCTCACCAAATTTCATGTCGATAGCTCTAAAACTGACGAAGATATGAGGGCGCGGCATACAGACAGACAGACAGACAGACAGACAGACAGACAGACAGACAGACAGACAGACAGACAGACAGACAGACATGACGAAACTATAAGGGTTTCTAGTAGACTACGAAACCCTAAAAAGATATAGCCGTTTATCCAGTAAAAGCGCGTGTTTTTACCCTCTTAAGGGAATCAAAATTCTGGGGGTACCGCTTGGTTTTGAAGTACGAAAAATGTCATTTTCATAGAAACGGGAATACTAATTAAGCTGATATTACCCAAATTATCCAAACCGCTTAACCAATCTTCGCGAATTTTAGCACTGATATTGCTAGCATATCGAAGACGGACATGGACTACTTTTCGTCAGCACTTGAGGATCTGGAGCACTGCTAAACTATGAGATACGATTTACGAAAATAGCTTCATAGCAAAAGTTGTTCTAAGTGGAGCTAATGAAAAATCAGTATTATGTTAGTAAATTTGTTTTATTTCATAAAATGCTTCGTTCAGCACAGTTTCACTACTTATTAGTAGTTTGTTATTATATTATTGTTCATAGTTTTACAAAAAAACTATTGATTTCAGTAGTAACTCACTCGTCCTCGCCTTCTTCTGTTATTTCCGATTCCTCTATAACTTGTCCTGGAATATTTTAAAAAGATCTTCAATTTGTTTTGTTATCTTCAAAAACGACACTACAGCTTTAATTTTTTGTTTAACTACTCTTAATTAAAACGGATATTTCCACTAACTTTCGTATTTATTTGTCATTCTGTAAGACGTGATAAGAACAGAGATGGGCATTTATTCTAATAACCAATAAAAATTCCGAATTTATTCGTTATTCAAGTATTAAATAATTTTAGTTTATTCGCGGAAAATTCATTTGAATAACGAATAATTTTCTTTATTCGTTATTCGCAAAATAACGAATAATTTCGCAAATTATTTATAGGCCTATGCAACTATATCAGAAGTCATTGCAAACATCACAGAGGCCTCTGCAAACATATCAGACCTCTCTGCAACCATATCAGAGGCCTCTTAAACCATGTCAGAGGCCTCTACAATCATGTCAGAGAACTCTGCAACCATGTTAGAGGCCAACGCAACAATGTCAGAGCCCAGCACAAGTGATTGTGACTTTACACACAACAGCAAAATTCAATTCACCATGTCTTTTTTCCTGCTTTCGCGATTAATTATTTAAATAAAAAAATATTCAAATAAATGCCCAATTCTGATAGATAAATCAGTGCTTAGTTACCACAAAGATACAGGAGGCCATGAGAGCAGCTTTGTACTTCACATCCAAGTTATGTGGGAAGTGCACGTCGTACTCCTGCCAGCTCTTGTTTATTCTGCCTACTTCCACGTCGTTCACGTCGAGGATCTGCAAAACATTATACAGGGTTAAATAATGAGAAAATTGAAAAATTCATTAGCGACCGCCGGGACTTGAACCCGGGACTGTGGATTGCCGTTCCACCGCTCTACCAACTGAGCTACGGGCGCCTAGCGGACCCTAGTGAATCTTTCAACCTCTTGATGCTCGTCTCGAAGCAACGATTAAGCGACATCTGGTAGTAGTTATTACAACTAAATACTTTGGTTAGTCCACGTTACAGTAGGAATTCAAACCATATGATGAAGCTTTTTGCTTAAACCAATGTATTGGAATTTTTAATGCACTCACAGCGCTATAATATTCTCATAAATTAAGTAATGAATTTTTCAATTTTCTCATTATTTAATTTATGAGAATATTATAGCGCTATGAGTGCATTAAAAATTCCAATACATTATACAGGGTGTAAGGGACAGCTCCCCGAATACTGATAGGGTGCATTCATTGAAACTAAACAACTTCCCATGAGACAATGTTTTCGTATTCTTTTTTTGGTTTTCCGTAGTCAGGTTATAACTTTTTAATTGGTCAGTGGTTCTGCTGGTTGTTTTAAGAGGTGAACCAGCCCATGAAACTGAACAACTTGTCCCAAGATAGGTCGATATGAAAAAAATTAGATCTCCTGTACAAAATGTATCTATACAAACATTTTTTTATATTTCGACCCATATTCCTTGGGAAGGTTGTTCAGTTTCATGGGCTGGTGAACCCCCCATACAAAATTTACGATCTAGAGCTGTTTTCACAGTACCAACCTTATACTTGCACGTGGATGTAACGAACATTTGTTTCTGCACCCTCAGCACCCGCTCCCCACTCTCATTGAGGATCAGCACCGACCTAAAATAAAGTATAGGGTACGCGAACGAGTTCATGACCATCCTGAAATATGCGCCCCCTTGCGGTGGTACTGGCGTGTGTGACATCATCATCATCATCATCATCATCATTGGCCTCATACGTCTGTGTCAGACGATTTATTCAGTGTCTGAGGCAAGATTTTTCCAATCTTGCCTCAGACACTGAATGTATAACGTAATACGTTTAATACGGAATCCAGTATTAAACGTATACAATCGCAAAAAACACTCGACTTCAATCTCGCTAATTGATACTGTTAGTGTGGTGTGTCGTGATCGTGACAAAATAGTGAGTGACAATAGTAGTGGTTCGAGTAACCGAGAACGCAGTCGACGAATCCGAAAGAGGGTAGACAGATATGTTTGCCCTTAGAAAGATGACATCACTCGCCGAGCCAGTCTACTCGTGACCATGGAGCGTGCAACCGCTCCGAAATATCGAGGTAAACAAAAACCTAATCACGGTAATAATCCCGTTGTGAACAATAATTTAAGTGTTGTGAACAACCGTGAAAACCTAAAAACTTACAAGATTTTTCATGGCTGTATAAGCCAATACGGGAGCGGCATGGCTTTTTGCACGCTCTCCATAGACACTGCGTTGCCTGGGACGCAATTATGGAAAACGCAGGGCTGCCCAGGACCTGCGCCAACCTCTCGGCCTTCCTGGCTGACTCCAGAAGAACGATGGGTCGATACTTGCGGAGCCAGGTCGGCTGCAGGGGTCTGCCACACGATTTATTTTATTACCAGTCACTCGCACCTGCCGGAGACCCCGTTCCGGGTTTGTGTGTGGAGTTTTCCTTCTCCAGGACCCTGATTCGCTTGGGTCGGATTTATCCCTCGGTCGCCTCTTACGACCCCCACGGGAAGAGAAGGGGTGGTGCTATTCTACTCTGTGCGACTACCACGTGTGCGACAAGGATGCGCATATTTCAGGATGGTCGTGAACTCGTTCGCGTACTGTATGAATTATGCTGATTCTGTTGTGAAAGGTATCCATAAGTAGGTGTTGACGACAGACGCCTTGGTGGCAGTTCCAGCCAGTTCCTCTGTTTATAACGTTTTATAACATGACTAGGTTTGCACCAAGTATGCACTGACCTGCTAAACATGTCCTTCATCCGCAGTTTGAGGGTAGGAAAGTTCTCAAACCTGACTTCCATGTGTGGTTGATCGAAGACTGGGTGGATGTATTTGATGTCGAGGACCTGGAATTGTGCAAGCCATAGGATAAAGTATCTACTTTTCTTTCTTTCTTCGTGTGGGACACCGAGTCGTTCAACGACCCGGTGAACCCTAATGTAAAAATTTTTCTACCGCCTACTGCAAGTAGCAGGCCTCTGACATGGTTGCGTAACGACGGCCATCATAGACAGCAACCGGGACCGACGGCTTAACGGTCCCATCCGAAGCACGGAACCGTCTTGCGTTTTGGACACACGTCCTAACCAGACTGGGAACAAATTCACAAAGTGATAAAAATCAACTTTGTGAGTGACCCAACCGGGAATTGAACCCGGAACCTTCTGCGTGGCAGGCAGTCATACTAACCACTGCGCCACATCGGCTGTCAAGTATCTACTTGGTACCTAAGTTGATAGTTATCAATTTGTGAGTTTCAGTCTGGTTAAGGCTTTGCAGGCTGGTCCACCCGACTGTCCGAAAAGAAACTTAGACGGCCGTCATTACCACAGATGCTGATCAGCCAAGCCACACAAGAAATTGGTGATACGCAAATACACGTGCGATTTAGAAGAAATTTGTAAAAATAGCAGGTCTTATAGATATTTTGAGAAGTCGAGCTAGGCTTAAAACAGCTTTAAAGAATGCTTGAGTATCGTTTCGAGTTCTACCCTTGAAATGTAATCAAACGAAAATAGCTCACGATCTAACAATAGGTAAGTAGATATGCAATATGCT